TGCTCAAAAAAAAAAAAAAGAAAACCTCAGGTCTCTGCCCAATTCCAACAAATACAACCATGTCTTACTCTATTAGCACTGTGCAACACCGGGGACGACGACATACTCGTTCACTAATCAGCCTTTCAGTTAATGTTAATTGGTTGAACAAGAGTTGGGAGAGCTTGTTATGTACAATCTGTGCAGTCCGTCTGCACGCGAGAAGACGCAGGCTGCTGTAGATTAGCCACACGTTAGCTTTATGCTACATGATGCTCTGAAAGGCTACCAGCAGGGCGCCAGGAACAACTTACGTCATCCTGTCTCAAACCTTTGGCCTGTGTCGCGACCTCACAGGCGATCGCGACAAACTCGGACGGCTGGTTTCGCCGGCCTCTGAGCTCCTTTTCCGTCCCTTCTCCGACCTCTCCTGTTCTCATTTCATGTGAATTTCAGCACACCATTTACACCTCCACACTCAGAAAAGTGTTCGCTTTTTATTATTATTTTTTAAACACCTCATATCTACCTGTACAGTACAGAAAGTTACAACCGTATTCAGTATTGACGTTATTTTCACTTTTTGATTTTAACAGCAGCGATGCACAATTACCTCTGTTTCCATCCCTCCGACCTTCAGCTCCTGACACTCGTTTAAGCATTTACAGTATGCGGGAGAAGCGCTCGTCGTTGCAGCAGAGCCATTATTTGTTTGTTTGTTTGTTTGTTACTTGGCACTTAACCTCATGACAGCGGAGTCGGGTTCCTAAACGGAGAGCTGATGTTGATGTAATCGACCTCTGAGGTGGAATTTGGCCTGGGGCCCAATCAGGAACGCCCCAATTGTTTTTCTCCTCAGAGGGACACACACACTTGCTCTCTCTGCACTTCTCTGGACAAACAAGTGTCGTTCAAGTCAAACTGAAATGTTAAATATCTCCATGTTGTGTATAAATATGCTTTATGCCCATATTCTACTTTTTGTTTTGCTCCTGTCCCTTTTTCTCTAAATGCTGCAGCTGCTGCAAAACTATGCATCAAGTGCATTTCCAAAGATTGTCCAGAGAGCGGGTGCATGTTAGTACGGCTTAAAACAGGTCTGATACCTTTTTAAAAACAAGTGTTTGTGAGATGTGGGTCTGCTGTAAAATTTTCCTGGCGCGGAGTACCGTTTTTATTTCAATTTTTTCCCCCGCCCACTGTTCAGCTATACACACACAGCAAACAACCAGCTATCAGCCCTCATTCCAGAGTGTTTTATGGAAAGGTTAAGGTCATGTTAAATAATAGCTATTTCTGGGTATGATATGAGGAAAAAACAATGAAATCAAGGATTTTCTTTCTATATGTGAATATTCGCCACTCTTTCATGAGCACCTTGACACTATCTGGACCTAAAAGGAAAAAAAAAAAAAACCTTGAACACTGTGTTTGATTATCCTTTGGTAAACTCAGAGGGTTAATGGTCTGAGGTGTATGGAGTCTTGAGTGTGCCACTACAATAATGTAGTGTTTAAGTTCAACAAATTCAACAAAATATAATTTTGACTTGCATTTAAAAAAAAAAAAAACACAAATAATTACACTTGCTAATTAAGAATTGTGTTACCTTTTCAACAATTGATTAAGAATTTTGAATGTGTCTTGTTTTAACATTTAGTTTCCATTTTGTGATTGCTTTCATTTAAAGTGTCACTTTAATGAAGTCCAAACTACACTGCAGCAACAGGAGCTTTTATTAGCCAGCTATTGGTTTCTAATCCGCCTTCAGAGCTCAATTTATTATTCCTTTTTTCAATTAAATTCAAGGTTAGGGTCAATTGAGAATAATTAAGTCTGAAAATTGTATCTGGTGGCACCGTCAGAACTCCATAGAAGTGTTGATGCTCACCGAGACATCAATGCTACATCGACCACCTCTGTGCAACCGACACCTAATGATGTCTTTACTTCTGAGGACAAACAAGCAAAGAGTTGGTTCAGGATGCCGGCTCTGAAACGTCACATACTGTGCAACATTTCCTCTGCAGTCAGGGAGCAGTTTGGGTAAGACGCGGATAAGCAAGGGACGTGGCGGCTGTTTTCAGAGCTGTGAGCTCCCTCTAGTGGAAGAGAAGCAGCACTGCAACATTACTTGAATTTTTTTTTGTACAAGTATTTAATCGGACAAAAGGATGGCACTTTCTCACAGCGTTATCATCGACGTTCCTCTCGATCAGACAAAACCTCAGTGTCTGTGCTTTTTAAAACTGAAAGAAGCAGCAATAACTTCAGTATGACCTATTGGCTTTATTGTTTTATTATCACTGAGGTGGCCTGTATTATCACAAACTATCCAGGTGACAGTATTAACTGCCAGTTTGAGCTCAGTTTACAGTATTTACATCCTGGAAAAAAATATGCTTGTCAAAACAAAAAAAAAAGGAAAATTTTCATTGTTTTTCAACTTCAGCATTTTGGCAAAGACAAACTTTTTTTTCTTCTTTTTCTAAAAGGAATATTGCCAATTTTAATCAAGAAAAGAAGTTATTAAGCAAATAAAAGTTTGTTTTTCCACTGTGACCCAACTTTAAAATGAATATCCTCCTGTTCTATGAAGTCTGATGTCTCCCCCTCTTCAGTTTACTGTGATTGGTGACCGCAGGTATCTTAAGCCATAAAGTGGATGAAGTGCGAGCTCACTCCCCTGCAGGAAATGAACAGACAAGGATCTCCTTGTCGGGATAAAGAAAGGATTGCCCACGTAGAATGATTACCTACACGAATGCTTTATAACATAAAGCTATATTTTGTTAATATGTATATGTGTATATATTTATAAATATATATCGACAGATCTGTTCCTTGAGTATTTCCAACAACGAAAGAGGGAGACAAGTCTTTCAGACCAAACTGTTCCGCGCAAGGTGTTCAACTAGAGTTTTACGGTGGGCTTTTTTTCACAAGTTTCTGAGGGTTTTTGCATTTTCCACCTCGACTTTATAAAATCGATCCTGATCAACCAGCAAGAATCGCAGCAGCTCTAAACTCAAAAGAACCAGCTTCTTCTCAGCAGATAATGGGACCTCAAAAAAAAGAAAAAAAAGGTGAAGACTTTGAACCCTCCAAAATGTATGTGTTGCTTGGCAATTGTATGTTCAAAAAGTGTAATCAGGAAAAGCTGAGCTTGTGACACAATCACTGCTTTCTTTGTTGCATAGACCGTAAAAACATTCAAGTGGAGAAAAAAAAGAAAAAGGAAAAAAAAACCACTTGGAAAAAAAGATCTATTTTTGTACAAAGGTAATTTTATCCCTTGCTTGTGTACTCTGTTCTTTCCCTTTTCTTCTGTGGGCTGTTGTATACGTTGTGGAAAAGCTTATTCAATAAGGCAAGAGACAATTTTCAGATTGAAAATTTAAGGTGAGAGGAGTCGTCGGTCGCCTTTACTTTGCCATTTTCAGCCCGTCGCTGCAAGACGGGGATGTCTTCTTTCATTATATTTTTGTCAGTTTTTAAAGGAGATGGAATTTTGTCATCTGTTCTTTGTGGGTTGTTCTGATGTTCTATCTTTCATGGACAGAAAAAAAAGGTTATTAAAAAACTTAAAAGTGAGATCGACTGATGCCACTTGATTCCGTGCACGCAGAGGCATGACAACGCCACGTTCACTCACAACTCGGCAAACGTGAAACATACAAAAACTGGTTTTATTAAGACGCAGGTAATAGCTGTCAAATGCAAACATATATTCCACAAAATCCAGGTTGACTACAGAGAACAGACGCTGCTGGCTTCGTGTGCTGAACTACAGTATGAGCTAATCAAACAGAGGAGAACGTAATATAAAGAAAAACAGACAGCTAAAACAATCAAATCACAATACATTGTAGTAAAGTCATTGTAATATGTACAAATCCTAGAACACAAAACTGCATTTGGTCACAGTTGGATGCTGTAAAATGTTAAAATTAGACTTTTTTTTTTAAACAGGAGGGGGGTTAACTCAATGCTCCAGTAAGACTGTAACGAAAAAAAGGACTTTTTGTAGCTTTCAAACAATAGTGACATCATGAATCACATTCTCTTGAGGCATCTTTGACTTTGTTCATGCACTTAAAATGCTGGTTCGTTGCCCTAATAATCTGCACAGACCTTACAAAATCAGAAAACACATCTGGTTATGGCACACAGCGCAACTGATCTGGCATTTGATATTAAGAAAAAAAAAAACACTAAGTGGTGCCACTTGAATAAATAAGACAAATGGATCCTTTAGAAGTCTTTTTTTTTTTACTGAAAGCTTGATGTCATTGAGACGGTGCTACACGATTACACAGACAAATGAAAAAGGCAAAAGAAATCATAGAAAGGCCAAATAACCATTCCATTTATTGTACGAGAACAGAAATGCCGTGTGTGTGAGTCGGTATGGCCCAAAGTTGATGCAGTGTCAAAAATACTGAAGCACCAGAACCAGCCTATCAGTGTTGTTACATCGATACCCGGCACGCGTTAACACACGCCCACTGCTGCACTGACTCTGGGCTGATACTGTGTGGCTGATGTGTCTCATTTGGTTCTCCGTGCTGAATTTCATTACCTGAAAGCCCCTCCGCGTCCCGCAGGAGCTCTCCGTTAGAAAACAAGTCCTCTTTTCTTACAACAAAATGTAGAAAAAAAAAATTATATATATATAAAAAAAAAAAAGGGAAATATGAATGGCCCGGAAGATCCGAAAAGGGCTTAGCAGTCGCTTTTCCATAGCTTGATGGTTTTGTCATTTTCTAAAGCCGCAGATGCGATGATGTTCTCTGTTGGGTGGCAGGCGGTCGATATGACGACGTCTGAAAAGACGAGACGGAAAATTGAAACCGTGCTGAGACTGACAAAGTTTTATAAACACATTACACCCAGAATACAATTTATATACACACACACACTTAAAAATTACTTTAGTCTCTGATCCTTACACAGATGAACTGCATAATCTTTAACCCGGTGCTTACTGACAGACCGCTGACC